GGAGTTTTGGGGGGAGATGAGGGGATTAAATCATTCTGTTTGTTGTTTTAAATTCTGGCCGTGGTTGGAGTTTAAAACCATGGACTACTAATAGCATATGTCACTGTAAAACAGGCCTACATTAGAGACCTATTTTTGCCACTTACTAGCTGGACATATGTCCTCATCTCTAAACCTCCCTCAATTGTTAACCAGAGGTGATAATAGTTCTTACCTAATGGAAACTCACCATAGAGTGCCTGGCGAATAATGAGTGCACAATAAATTTTACCATGATTTTCACTCTTAATATTTTCACATTTTGAAATCCGGTCTGGATGGAGCTGGATGGCTCAGTTCGTTAAGCCTCTGACTCTTGATTTCGGCTCAGGTCACCATCTCACAGTTCGTGGGTTCGAGCCCTGCACCGGGCTCTGCACTGGGTCAGCACGAAACCTTCACGGAGTTCTCGTTTCCTCTCTCTCTGCCCCTCACCCCCACCCCCAAATAAATAAACTTAAAACAATTCTTTTTCATTACATGTCCCAAAAGAAGACGCGATAGTTCAGACCTACGTGTGTCGAATCAGGTGCTGGAGGAGGAGACACCCCAATGTGAGGAAGGGCGTGATGTGAATACAGCGCACTGTGTGGGGAACAGGGAGAGAAACCTGGCTGTTCCATCACCTGAAATGTTCACAAAAGTGAGTAAGAAATATTCAGCACAACCAAGAGGACCCCAAAACCGGTGGCCGGGATGAGCACTTCATTGTTTCCTGAGTTCAGAACCTTCGGGATTTCTCCAGGCCCATCCGGCCTCCCCTGTCCTGGGGCTGTCAGCAGGCTTTCCCGGGATCTGGGGCTGCTCCTGGCCACGAGGAGCAATTCCCATGAGCTTTCCCTGAGAGTGTCAGGTCGCTGATGCAGACATTTTCAGTCATAGATTTTTTTTTTCTGCCACAGGCAAGTGGTTTTAAGCTATTCCGTTAGTAAAGAAAGGGGAGGGGTGCTTTTGGGAAGAAACAAGACAGAAAGAGAACGTGTTTTGACCTAGTTAAGCAACTGAATAGACTTGCGTTTTAACGATTTCTGGTTATACCATATTAGCTGCATGCATATATTTTAAAAAATTGGGGCTGTCAATTTTTCTAGGAAAATAGAATTGTAAATTATAAATGCCTATTAAATAAAGTATTAGGAGCAGCATTGTTCTTGAAACATGCCTCATAAAATTTCCTCCCTTTGTCCCTTCCCTCCTTCCTCTCCTCCACTTTTAAGGGCAAGGACCACGTTTCTAGGAGAGGATGTGCTACAAAAGGTCCTACCTACAAAACAAAAGGTCCTACCCTCAAGAAGCAGTCTAATGGGGAGGCAGACGTGTTAATACACGGAGCTACAATTACACAAAGTCGTACAAGATCCAGTTAGGAATACAACGGGAAGTGCTTATTCTATCTTACTTTTGAGGGAAAGCTAGATAGAGGAATTGTCACCCGAGTTTTGTTCTTATTAAAGAAAACCCAGCAACTGCATCGAGCACTTTTTCAGGCTTTATTATACTCATGTGTACACACAAAATCCACACGGATGGGAGTCAGAAAAGACTCTCCTCAAGAATCTTAAGATAGAATTTTTAGGCAGAAGAAATTGCTTACCAAAACCTAGGACCGAATGCATAACAAGAACGCTTAGCAGATTGGCCTCTTTGTGTCCAGATCTTTAGGACCCAGCTTTGGTTCAGTTTGGCACATATATGTTCAGTTTCTGTGGGTTCTGCTGTTGTGGCTTGGTGTTGTTTTTTGAGAGTTTTTAGGTAAGCAAATTTAGGTTCAGATTAGAATGCAAAATTCTAATTGCAAAATTGTTAGCAACATATATAGCTTGCAAAATTGTTAGCAACATATATAGTGGATGTTACTTGCAAATTCTTTCTCAGTACCAGGAAATGGGTAGATATCTTCCGGGTAGCTGTGGTGAGAGAGCTTCCAGGAAGCAAGAGCAGCAGGGGCAAAGACTTGGAGGCCAAGGATAATTGGGTACCATGGGGAGATGGAAGCGGTTCACTGCGGCAGGGAGGTAGGGTCAGAGGGAACGGGGCTAGTGAGCGGGACAAGGATCTCATGTGCCACTGAATTGCTGATGGCAGCCATGTTTGCATGTCCAGTCTTGACTGCTCCCCTCTCACTGAGCACCACAGTGCGACGTCTGACAGCCACCATGTTGCTTCCACAGCAATACCTAACAACCCTTAAGCTAAGTATATCCAAAACAGAACCTTTAATTTCCTCCGTGGTACTTATCTTTGCCTCCAGTTCTACTCATCTCTGTCAGGGGTAACTGGCACCCACAGTTAATGAAGCTGAAAATAAAAAAGGCATCTTCATTCTTCATTTTTTTTTAGGTTTATTTATTTATTTATTTTGAGACAGAGAGAGAGAGAGATTGAGAGAGAATCTCAAGCAGGGTCCCCACACAGCGTGATGTGGGGCTCAGTCCGCCGAAGTATGATATCACGACCTGAGCTGAAATCCAGAGTTGGACGTTTAACCAACTGAGCCACCCAGGTGCCCCTCATTCTTCATTTTTAAACCTAGCCCAAATACAAAACAAAAATCCCAAATGTGCCCTTTTGTTCCCACTGCCACCATGGCTATTACTCTAAATAGCCTCTAAAATTTAGAGGCTAAGCCTCTAAAATCTTGTGTGTTTCTGTAATAATTATCGTTTTTACAAAAATATGTCTTATCATGCAACTTCCCCACCTTGGACCCTTGGTTCTCCTTACCTTCTTTCTTTCTTTTTTTTTTTTTTTTTTTAGCATTTTTAATTATTTATTTATTTATTTATTTATTTATTTATTTATTTATTTATTTATTTTAAAAGTAAGCTCTATGTCCCACATGGGGCTTGAACTCACAACCCTGAGATGAGGATCAAGAGTCGCCTGCTTTACTGACTGAACCAGTCAGGCGCCCTATTCTCCTTCCTTTCTAAATAACGCTTTAAAAACTTCTTATACCTACATGAAGGTCCACTCTTTGTGCTAGAAAGTTCTACGGGTACAGGCAGACGCTCCGTTCCAAAGCCATTCCCGTCAGGTAGAGCTGTGCGGTTCTCCCTCCTTCCAGCCTGCCCTTCCCCAGAGAAGAACCTCAGAGCCCCTGCACCAGAGCTGGCGATGGGGACAGCAGCACTCTTCCCGCTCTGTAAGTGGTGCCGAGGGATGGTGGTCTTTTGGTTTCTCGGCTTGCGGGGCTGGTGTGGAGCCTCCTGCCTGGGACGAGCAAGCTGGTAAGAGTGACAGGCTGCAGTTCTCCCAGCTTGCGGTACCTGCAGAAGAGCCTCTGCTCTTTGGTTTTGTTTTTTTTTCAACGTTTATTTATTTTGGGGACAGAGAGAGACAGAGCATGAATGGGGGAGGGGCAGAGAGAGAGGGAGACACAGAATCGGAAACAGGCTCCAGGCTCTGAGCCATCAGCCCAGAGCCTGACGCGGGGCTCGAATTCACGGACCGCGAGATCGCGACCTGGCTGAAGTCGGACGCTCAACCGACTGCGCCACCCAGGCGCCCCGAGCCTCTGCTCTTTGAACGAGCAGGGCGGGGGAAGGGAGTCCCATTCCTCTGCCATGCCTGCTCTGAACATGAGACTGTGGAGGGTGGGAGAGCCTAGTGGCTTATTACCGAATCACGGCTGTAGGTTAGAAGCTGAGGAGAGCAGGAGACCCTGTCTTTCCGCCTGCGCCCCAAAGCAATAGTCCTTCCATCACACAGAATGTGCACAGGTGATGGTGTGATGGGAGCTGGTCCCTAACTCAAATGCTGAGAACCGTTTCTGTCTTTTGTCAGGATTTGGCATCATTTGAGTAAATGCCACGCTATTTGCTGTACATCATTAGAGAGATTTCCAGAGATTGTAAAGAGTTGTTTCTATTTCTATTAATTCTCACCAGTTAAATGGATGTTCTGCTGGGGAAACCATTCACCCAGACCCTCATCTCATGGTTCCAGGAGTCCTGACCCCTACCTGGCAGTTTGCAACTTTGAGCCTCAGTTAATAGGCATCCAGGAATCAGACTGTCAATCTTACATAAATGTAAAACAAATGTCATTGCTATTGTTAATGAGAATAATTTAACTGTGATAAATCCACAGTAGTTAAATGGATAAGATTTCCTATGTCACTGTGTCCGGGTTAGCCGTAAGAGGTTTAACACTCAGTATGGTGTGGTTTGTTTTCTTTGTTTTGTTTTGTTTTTGGTTTTTTGCTGTTGTTGTTGTTGTTGTTGTTGTTTTGGTATTCTTTATGTTTTACAAAAGAAAGAGCAGCTAACTCAAAAAGAAAACAAGTGACTTGTGACTTTGTTAACTGTTTTTCAGGATAAGGCAAGGACTCAAAATTCCTGGAGAGATCTCTCACTGAAGACAACTTCTGGCACACTGTCAGGCATGAAGTCCACGGGCTTATGAGTATTCCAGCTTGGGATAAAGCAGCTTATTTTTTCCTAATCTGCACTGTGATGCATTCGACTCTGGAGAGTGATTTTTTTTTTTTTTTTCCATTCTTATTGCATCAGGTGGAGGTGGCTCAATTGGTTACGTGTCTGATTTTTTTTTTTTTAAGTTTATTTATTTTGAGACAGAAAGCACGAAAGTGGAGTAGGGGCAGAGAGAGAGGGGAGAGAGAATCCCAAGCAGGTTCCGCACTGCCAACACAGAGCCCGATGTGGGGCTCAAACTCATGAACCGTGAGATCATGACCTGAGCCGAGATCAAGAGTTGGACGCTTAACCAACTGAGCCACCCAGGTGCCCCACATGTCTGATTCTTGATCTCAACTCAGGTCTTGATCTCAAGGTCATGGGTTCAAGCTGCATTGAGTTCCATGCTGGGCATGAAGCCTACTTTAACAACAACAACAATAACTATCAACTATATATATATATATATATAGATATATATATATAGATATATAGTCTATCATATATTGGCTTTCTTATAAAATCCTAATATCATATCTTCAGAAGTAACATCTTGAAATTTCACCTCTGAAGTGACAGGTTTGGGCTCTTCAGAGTTCTTGATATATTATTGAGCTATGACATTTGAATTAGCTTCATGAAACCATATAAATATTTTTTGCTGGCCTTGTAAGTGTCATTATGAGCTGGTTTTTATCATTACTTTAATTTCAGAGGCTGATGTGAGCAACTTCTCCTTTGACAGTCAGGGAATTTCAGAATGAGAAGTAGGCTTGCAATCTATTTGCACAACAGACTGAAAGTACCTTTCTTCTGTGGGTTTGATTTGATTGCCTTACAATTGTCCCTGTCATCATCACCATGGAATGAAGGTGAGGAGTCATTTGTTGACTGACAACTGAGCAAGTGTTCAGTGGATGGTGACAGAGCCCCTTCCTCGCTGAGCCCTTAGCTCACTCTTTGACATTACTGATGTTAACACATTTCCTCCAGTCTATCCTGTAAAAGAATCATACTCATAAAAGAATCCTTAACTAAAAAAACCTTTCCTTTTCTGAATCATCGCTTCAGTGTCGAATAGGTCAAAAAAATCCTCAAGCCCCTCTATTCAGTACACATAGCGTGCATATGCCAAGATCTGTTTCTACGGTACAATATGGCAACTCATTGCTGATACTGACTACCCAGAGTTAATGCACACTCCATTGGGGTTGAGCTCAGAGTCCCCAACAAGACTGCCCCATTTCACATGCTAGCTGCAAGTTTCGGAGTCCTCAGGCCACCTAGACTTTTGACCAACTGCCTACAAATTCAGGAGTTCCCATGACTCCGTAGTTTTGACAATTTGCCAGAACAATTCATAGAGTTCAGAAAAGCTCTATATTTATGATCAAAGTTTTTTTTACAAAGGACACAAATCAGGGCCAGCCAAAGGAAGGAGCACATAGGGCAAGATCTGGGACAATCCTGAATGCAGGGTTTCCATGTCCTTTTCCTGTGAAATCAGAATATCACTGTCCTGGCACGTAAACCAGCGCCCATCAACCAAAAATCCCAAACAAGCTTCGATGGTTAAAGTTTTTTATTGGGATTTCGTCATATAGGCACGACTGATTGAACCACTGGCACATGACTGAACTCGATCTCCAGCCCTCCCTCTCTTCCTAGGAGGTGCTTCTAATATCACATGGCTCAAAGCCCCAACATTTGATTATGTGGTAGGTCTTTCTGGCAGGGCCAGTCCCCATCCCTGAACTATGGAGGGACCCAATGGGCCCACCATGAATAAGACAAATATTCCTATCACTCAGGACATTTCAAAAGGTTACAAGCTCCATCTCAGGAACCTGGGACACAGACCAGATAATCCCTTATCATATGACATACACCTTCGTCCATTTGCAAAGTTTATGCCAGCAGCACGTGTAGTAGTCATTGTCCTCCTCCTCGTGTGCAGTATCCATGGCTCCATTTGATAAAAGCTTTCACCAACCTGTTAAATAACAGGTTAATTTCTCCGAGTTCAAAATTATTATCATTTGTACCTGTGTATTCACGAAGAGTGTGATGCTGAGAACCCTTTATGGATTTGGACTTTTCTTTGTCTTTGATGATTGCTAGTGCTCATTGAGTCTTTGCTATGTCCCAGGCATGATGCTTAGCTCTGTACATGCATTTCACCGTCATAACAAGTCTATAATATTAGATAAATACTATCTCCACCTTACACGTAAAGGAAGGGGAGTAAAGAGACGTTGTGTCCAAAGTAATGTGCCCCCACGGCACAAGGGTGACTCGGTCAGTTAAGCATCCGACTTCAGCTCAGGTCGTGATCTCACAGCTCGTGAGTTCAAGCCTCGCGCGGGGCTCTGTGCTGACAGCTCAGAGCCTGGAGCCTGCTTCGGATTCTGTGTCTCCCTCTCTCTCTGCCCCTCCTCCGCTTGCACTCTGTCTCTCAAAAATAAATAAACGTTAAAAAAAATTAAAAAGTAAACAAAGTAATGTGCCCAAAGTCACAAAAGTAGTAAGTGGCAGAGTTGGGATTTACAAAAGGTCATCTACTCTCAAAGCCCGTGCGCCATTAGACTGTGCTACGTATAGCAACAAGAGCACTAGCTTTGCGCTGGAAAGTTCTGGAGCAACTCATTTGGTTTATCATAAAAGCAATTTTTCTTTATTTGAAAAGTGACGGAAAAGCATCAGTGGTTAACGTCATAACATAACAAGGTTTCTTAAAAGAAAACGTGCTAAGGACTCCTGTTAAACAAAAAGAGAATCCAATAAAATTCAACGTTCAGATATTTGTCATTCCTTGGATGCTTGTGAAAAATCTTCATTTACAGATTCACTGTCCCAACACAGGCAGAGTCAAATTCTGTATTTACACTGAGGATGTCCCCACTATTCTTTATCGTGAAGTTACTCTGAGTTGGAGTATTAATGTTTCTGTTTTCATCCCTACTTTTGCACCTTAACAAGCCGCTTTTGAGGCCTTGGTATGTTTGAAAAATTAATGTTAAAATAAAATGCAAGTTTAAGAAGATTAAAGTTATCATGAAATAAAAATATATTAACCAATGAGTCTTCATTTTCTTAACTGTACAACAGGGATAGTAATCCAGGTAAAGTGTTGTGGGGCTTACAAAATACTAACATATATAAAGTGCCTCTGGTGAGGAACAGTGCTCCGAAGGACAGACAGATCTAGAATCTTCTGTCAGTGGTCAGGTGCCAGCAGGCCCACTGAAATGCTCAATGAGTGCCCCTTCTTTCCTGCTGAATTCATTTCTTATTCTGAAAACAAATTATTTTTCTCCTCTGGATATGTTACTTTTGCTTTTAGCAACTATCAAGAGAGGTAGGGTCAGACGATTGACTCAGAGAAGGAAGAAAGAGTGTTTGATAGTGATCTCATTAATGGAGAACAAACAGGGACAAGATAACATCGAGAGCAAAATTGCAAAGTAACGAGAGAGTATGAGGCACTTTGTGCTTCATTTTTGTTACATGCAGCACCCATGTTACCTCCGTTCCCTCTGCTCATTCATTGTCCTACAACTTCCGTATTTGGAAAATGGTGGCGTCTTCATTCATTTACACACAGATGCTTTAAAAGCCTCCTCCACAATTAAGAAAGAAGTAGAAGATACATTTAAACCAATGTGGTCATTTTTCACTACTTTTCATTGCTCCTAAAAGTTGACAAGCGGACTTTAAACGGACCTTAATAAAAAACGTAGTTCTTTATTAAATGGTTTACATCCAAGACGTTTATCCCTAAGTGCCTCGATCTGGTGGCTGTAAGTTCTCTTGCGGAAATTTCAGCCCTACACATCCTTCAGGGCTTCTACACACTAGACAACAGGCAAAAACAAACGTCAGCTGTTGGACTGTGTGAAAGTGCCCACGACAAGGGCCTTTCCTAGATTTTCCAGTTATATTTTAGTTTAAAAAAAGGCGGGGGGGCGGGCCAGTTCTACCTTCGAACTACAAACATTTAGGGCCAACTATTTACTTAGATCTAAAATGTGAATCTTTCTTCCCTTTTTTGTTTTTGTTTTTGTTTTTGTTTTTGTTTTGTTCTGACAGGTCGTGAGGTGTGCTGTGCAATGAGCTGGAGAATTTGCTTTCAGATCATCGGTGGGTGGAATGGGCTCTGCTCAGAGGAGAAGCTGGTATTTTTATCCAGCCTCCACAAAGCCCCCAGCTCTTGGCAGTAATGTGTCCTGGGCCTCTGACTCGCTTCTCCCCCTTCCAAGCCGGCTCATTTTCTGAGTGTTTCTTCTTCTTCCCTGACTCCTTCCAAGGTGTTTACAGATGACCCCCATCTCAGGAGCCAAACCCTTGCCTGCGTCTGTTCAGCCTTCTCTGCTTCTCGTCACTCACCCAGCATAGAGATCTCATTCTGGAGTTTGAACCTCGGCCCCCCATTTATGACCTGTGTTAACTTGGGAAAATTACTTCACCTCTATTGGCCTCGATTTCTTCGTCTGTAAAATGGGACCGATAGTAGTCCTTCTACATCTGAGTTCATTCAAGGAGGTAATGCACGTAAACTTCCTCGCACAGAGTCTAGTACACGTTACGGGCTAATAATTATTTACTGTATCCAGCAAAGCAAAGAGGCCTTTTTTTAGTGTATGGAGATGTCTCCTGGCCAGTGTCCTATGATGCCTAATAGGATGGATGCAGCAGGTCCACCTCCATCATTTGCAGGGCTTGGGGGCAAGAGGACACATGTATACCTGCTCCCACTTTCCTCTTGCTTTCAGCTCTGTCCCTCGCTGCAAGTTACCTCACCCATGAGTGTGCGTCCTACTCCTACCAGCCTGTCTAAGCTCTGTCCAAACCCAGCTTCTTCCTGTCCTGCAAGCAGCCGCTCCTTGGCCACCTCTCAGGTCTACAAATGGGTCCTCCAGAGACTATCTCCACGGAAGAGCTCCTTGCGGGCTGGCAGTGACTTGAGCCCCTGGATGGGGAACCCCATGATCCTGGTACACAGCGTGGGGTGGGGAAGCAGGGGATGGCACAGAATTGTCCCCCATAGAGAAGCCTGGCTGAAAGATGGCCGGAACAGGGCCCTCCAGGAGGTGGGACTCGGGGTAGGAGTCCTGGCTGTCTGGAGGGAACCATGTTGCAGGAAATGAACCATGCGTTCAGGAGGGTAGTTTCTCCACAGGCTAGCTTGAAGCCCTGGTGTCCAGCACAGTTATGGAGATGGCATGTCTATAGTGCAGGGAAGAGCTTACTCCTCTCACTAAGACCCTGACAACCCTTTGGAGCAGCCCCGACAGATGCCAGTTTCTTTGAGGGATCAGTTCTTGGTGTTGCTGTGCTCCCCTTTCACAGACCTGCTTCCCATGCTGCAGCACAGACCTCTCTACTCCTCCCCTTTGCTAATGTTTCCTTGGCTTGGCAATTGCAGAGTGGACAGTGAAGAAACCCTAGGAGAAGCTCACCTCAAATACCAGGAAACTTGGAACCAGGGAGAATTTCAGGACACAAAGGGAACGAAAGAGATCTGTTTGGTGGTAAGTAACATTTGACTCTAGAAAGTCCAGGGAGTAAACCATGAAGGTCAGCACACCCCACTTCCTGCAGAACTGGGGCTGCGATCCATCTGCTCCTTTAAAATATATGATTATGTCCTACGTTAGCAGCTTTCCTTTTATTACTGAGAGTCTCGGCACCCACGTGTTCTGCAGATTGCTGCGAAGGACTTGGGGTGAAGTGTTAACGTACTGAGAATTTATGTTTAGGAGTCATTTGGCAAGAAAAAGTTATGAAATATAATTCAATAGCAAATGGGCAATAAAGATAGAGCACCTGTGCTAGATAATAAACCCCCCCCAGAAAAGGAAACCGATGCCTTCAGTTATAAATTGTCAAGGAGTCACATTTGGAATTGGAGTAGAAGTGCCACCCTTGCAGGGAAAACCATTCGGTTCCAGCAACGGGAGCTGGGCTTGCCTCCCTTCTGAACAAGAGTGCTTTGCTCTGGTGATCTCACATGTCCAGTTCCATGCTGGTGGCCTGGCTCTCGCTCAGGATCCGATTACTTCAGAAGTGAGCTTATCTGCTAAAGCATCCTTGTATAGAAAGCTGTATATGGAGAAGGAGGTTGTTTATTTTTCTAAAGAAAAAAAAAAGTGACATATCTGACTGACATTCTAACTAGGGGGCTGGAGAACATGCGTTTCTTGTGTGTTAATAGAGGCTCAATATCAACAGGGTCCTGTTTTATTTAAATGTAAACTGAAGGGTTCTGCAGCGAACAATTGGGAAATGTTGAATTAAAACCAAGTCTATCCATTTCTGGGTATACACCCAAAAGAATTTATAAGCCAGGTGTCAAAAAGATATTTGCACACCCGTGTTCACAGGAGCTAAAACATGTGTCCATCAACTGATGACCGCTAAGCAAAATGGGGTCTATACACACAGTGGAATATTAGTCAGCAATAAAAAGGGGGGAAGTTCTCATACAGGTGACAACATGGAAGCACTTTGAGGCCATCGTGCTAAAGGAAATAATCCAGGCACCAAAGGACGAGCGCTGTATGATTTCACTTACATGAGGTACTTACAATAGTCAAATCACAGAGACAGAAGATAAAACGTTGGTTGCCAGGGAGAAGGGAGAATGTGGAGTTAGTATTCAATGGGTACCAAGTGTCAGTTTTACAAGATGGAAAGAGTTTTGGGGACGGAGGTGGTGACAGCTCCATAACAATGTGAATGTATTTAATACCCCTGAGCCACGCGCTTCAAAATGGTTAGATGGTAAATTTTACATTAAGTGTATGTTAACACAAGAAACATTTTTTTTTTATTTCTGAGGATGATCATTTTAACTGTAGGATATCTCAGAGCGTCTCTTATGCTCACATGCAATATTATTTGAAATAAGAGGGTGTAAAATACATTTTCCCAAAATAGAATATACTTGAGAAACTACTAATATAGATTGCTTTTCATTCCTTGATTTTTTTCCTATCCCCTTTCCAGATAAAATCTTTTAAATATCTAAGTGAAGAATGCTATTTCTTTTAAAACATGGTAATTCAAGGTGTCCCACGGGGGTGGGCATGGTGGATTCGTGAGTATTGGGCCCTACTATCGCCACACATTGTCCATCTTAGGAGGAAAACTGGAAAACGTTATGGAAAATTTCTCACGGAAAATAAGATGTGGGGAAGCCATTTCTGCCTGGGCTATTCCTTGGCATCTGTTCCATTTAAGCGCCACAGGGCTGCGCGGGGTTCAGGCGAGGACCACCCAGAGTTCGATCTCCATGCCTTGTAATAAGTTTGTCCCCATGTGTTCTTCCTAAGTTCTCAGACCTCCTCCCCTAAGAGACCCACTCCTACATGTAATGACTCTTATTAAGGAGGGACCAGAATTGGGGGGGGGGGCAAGCAAAACTGGGGACATACTCTAGTTCTCCCACACGCTTTTATTATACATCTCTTACTTTTCGTTTCTTTGCTTAGTTCCATAGGTTAACCTGTAGCCCCACAAGCATCGATTAACCTTTCTTGTGACATTTGAGGCTGCTCCCTCTGCCTAATTCAACAGACGTTCAGCTTTAGAGAGGTAGAGGGTGTGATTCAGAGGAAGGCAGGGGCCGAGAAATAAGTCGCACTAAGACACTGGGGGTGTTCGTGTGCAAGTTCTCACTTTTAAAACAAAAAGTCTACTTTGGAACATATACCTAATTGTAAGGCATCTATCGTGAATTCTATAAACATGGTGATCATATTCTCCAAATCTCAAATTAGGGCACACCAACTGGGAAAGGTTGTGTGTGTGTGTGTGTGTGTGTGTGTGTGTGAAGTTACTTAATTCTTGTAAAATATGCCTCAATCCCATTTAGTCAGTCAGTAATAGAAATCTTTTATTAGAGAAAATAGAATTTTATAAAATCATAACTGTACCAGCAAAGCTGGCATAGATGATCAACATATGTGATCCCACACAGTGTTTAGATTACATACCACCCTTAATATTACCCTTAATATTTTTTGGGCATTTATTACTCTTTTGAAGGACTGATCCTTTGTAATTCCTTGTAAATCAAGACCTAGTCCACTCTGCCATTTTTCTTTTTTCTTTTTTGTTAAAGAAACTCCACGCCCCGCACAGAGCTCAATGTAGGGTTTGAACTCACAGCCCTGAGATTAAGACCTGAGCTGAGATCAAGAGTTGGATGCTTAACCAACTGAGCCACCCAGATGCCCCTGCCACAGTCACCTTTTTTTATTTTATTTTTATTTTTAAAAATCTACGTCCAAATTAGTTAGCATCTAGTGCAACAATGATTTCAGGAGTAGATTCCTTAGTGCCCCTTACCCATTTAGCCCACCCCCCCCCCACAACCCCTCCAGTAACCCTCAGTTTGTTCTCCATATTTATGAGTCTCTTCTGTTTTGCCCCCCTCCATGTTTTTATATTATTTTTGTTTCCCTTCCCTTATGTTCATCTGTTTTGTCTGTTAAAGTCCTCATATGAATGAAGTCATATGATTTTTGTCTTTCTCTGACTGACTAATTTCACTTAGCATAATACCCTCCAGTTCCATCCACATAGTTGCAAATGGCAAGATTTCATTCTTTCTGATTGCCGAGTAATACTCCATTGTATATATACCACATCTTCTTTATCCACTCATCAGTTGATGGACATTTGGGCTCTTTCCATACTTTGGCTATTGTTGATAGTGCTGCTACAAACATGGGGGTGCATGTGTCCCTTCGAAACAGCACACCTGTATCCTGTGGATAAATGCCTAGTAGTGCAATTGCTGGATCATAGGGTAGTTCTATTTTTAGTGTTTTGAGGAACCTCTCCATTGTTTTCCAGAGTGGCTGCCGCAGCTTGCATTCCCACCAACAATGCAAAAGAGATCCTCTTTCTCCGCATCCTCGCCAACATCTGTTGTTGCCTGAGTTGTTAATGTTAGCCATTCTGACAGGTGTAAGGTGGTATCTCATTGTGGTTTTGATTTGTATTTCCCTGCTGATGAGTGATGTTGAGCATTTTTTCATGTGTTGGTTGGCCATCTGGATGTCTTCTTTGGAGAAGTGTCTATTCATGTCTTTTGCCCATTTCTTCACGGGATTACTTGTTTTTTCGGTGTTGAGTTTGAGAAGTTCTTCATAGATTTTGGATCCTAACCCTTTATCTGATATGTGATTTGCAAATATCTTCTCCCATTCTGTCGGTTGTCTTTTAGTTTTGCTGATTGTATCCTTCACTGTGCAGAAGCTTTTTATTTTGATAAGGTCCCAGTAGTTCATTTTTGCTTTTGTTTCCCTTGCCTCCAGAGACGTGTTGAGTAAGAAGTTGCTGCAGCCAAGATCGAAGAGGGTTTTGCCTGTTTCCTCCTTGAGGATTTTGATGGCTTCCTGTCTTATGTTTAGGTCTTTCATCCATTTTGAGTTTATTTTTGTGTATGGTGTAACAAAGTGGTCCAGGTTCATTCTTCTGCATGTCGCTGTCCAGTTTTCCCAGCACCACTTGCTGAAGAGACTGTCTTAATTCCATTGGATATTCTTTCCTGCTTTGTCAAAGATTAGTTGGTCATACGTTTGTGGGTCCATTTCCGGGTTCTCTGTTCTGTTCCATTGATCTGAGTGTCTGTTTTTGTGCCAGTACCATACTCTCTTGATGATTACAGCTTTGTAATATAGCTTGAAGTCCAGGATTGTGATGCCTCCTGCTTTGGTTTTCTTTTTCAAGATCGCTTTGGCTATTGAGGGGTCTTTTCCGGTTCCATACAAATTTTAGGATTATTTGTTCTAGCTCTGTGAAGAATGCTGGTGTTACTTTGGTAGGGATTGCATTGGATATGTAGATTGCTTTGGGTAGTATCAACATTTTAACAATATTTGTTCTTCCTATCCAGGAGCATGGAATCTTTTTCATTTTTTTGTGTCTTCTTCAATTTCTTTCATAAGCTTTCTATACTTTTCAGTGTATAGATTTTTCACCTCCTTGGTTAGATTTATTCCTAGGTATTTTATGGGTATTTGTGCAACTGTAAATGGTATCGATTCCTTGATTTCTCTTTCTTTCGTTTCATTGTTGGTGTATAGGAATGCAACCGATTTCTGTGCATTGATTTTATATCCTGCAACTTTGCTGAATTCATGAATCAATTCTAGCAGTTTTTTGGTGGAATCTTTTGGGTTTTCCATATAGACTATCACGCCATCTTCAAAGAGTGAAAGTTTGACCTCCTCCTGGCCGATTTGGATGCCTTTTATTTCTTTGTGTTGTCTCATTGCAGAGGCTAAGACTTCCAATACTATGTTGAGTAACAGTGGTGAGAGTGAACATCCCTGTCTTGATCCTGACCTTAGGGGGAAAGTTCTCAGTTTTTCCCCATTGAGGATGATATTAGCATTGGGTCGTTCATATATGGCTTTTATGATCTCGAGGTATGATCCTTTTATCCCTACTTTCTTCAGGGCTTTTATCAAGAAAGGATGCTGTATTTGGTCAAATGCTTTCTCTGCATCTATTGAGA